TAATATCGTAATAGCCATGTGTAACTCGTACAATTAAAATACCTACACATTTCACTATGATTCTAGTACACTACCTACATGGCTTCTCTCAATACTATTCTTTAATTATACTCTAAGTAAGTAAAGTTTGATGAAGTTTTTATGCTTAATGTTTGATGCTTAATGAACCATGGATAGAGGTGTTGTTTTGGTCTCTGCAAGTTTTCTTATTTTACTGTTATCTGCGGCCGTGATTCTTGAAAAGTATATTTCCAGCTTGGATCTAAAGTCTAATTTGAATGAGGAAAACCAATATTTCATCAAAGTTCTCCATAATTGCAGCAAAAATTCACGGATTATATCTACGACATTTGATGTCGTTTAATAAAATTCAAATGGCTGAAAGATCGCATACTTTAGTATCACAATCCTACTGCAACGTTTAATATTACCTCTTCGGCGATACTCGACTTTGGTGATGTACATCCAAATCCAGGATCCGTTATGGGTTCCACACACAACACCTGGACGGAATGCTCTGCAGTGAAGTGTCCAAATGTCTCAAGGGAGTACAGCGAAATCATAAATGTCTTGAGACATGTCTTGAAATGGAGTTGGAGTTACGAACCAAGTAGATATGAATCTCAACATATTCCAACCATTCTTTCTACGCATCGTAGATCTTGGGAACCTATTCTAGAAATGTCAACAATCTGATACCTGTTGCGCTTCTTAGTGCTCCATCGAAAACTCAGCTTTCCAGTGATTTCGCTGTTTTGAATGCATGATCTATTGTCAGAAAATCCACTCTAACCATCTAGACATTCTCGCCTTAACCGAAACTTGGCTAAATGGAACAGACCCAGGGGTAAATCCAGGAATTTTGGAACTCAGGGGGGGGGGGGTGACTATTACAAAGGTTTTATGAGGAAAGAGAGGAAAAGGGGGGTGATTGTTACTAACAATACACTAAGGAATTTAAGCGAATGGGGGTGACTACGCATCTATATTACTACCCCTGGATCCGCCCCTCAGACCAAGATCATCATTGCATACCTGATATCCATATATCACATCCTTCCAATACTTTTCACCACGTCCCAAGAAAGAACGTTCTACATAAATCACCAGAAAAACGTCGTCCAACATGTCTATCATCTACTCTCCTTGCAAATAATTTTGTTCACTTTCTTCAAGAACCAAATAATCAAAACTAGAAATGAATTGGCTTCTATTGAACAAAATCCATCTTTGGCTATTGATCAGCGTCCTACTGCATGCCAACTAAACTATCAGCTTCATTGGCTTCCTGTGACTCACCGTATTATATACAACATCCTCTTAATAACAATAAATCACAACATAGCCTGGCTCCATGCTACATCTCTGATTGGATTTTCCCAATACAAACCCCCAAGAAATCTAACATCTTCATTTTCCATTCAATCAAATCGTCAAAAATTTCGTCTAAAACCTTATGGTTATCGTTCGTTTTCCGTGTGTGGCCCTGAACTGTGGAACTCTGTTCCTCCTTCCATTACATCACAATCATCGCTAACATCCTTCAAGACAGCCCTACAAACTTATCTATTCAAACAAGCATATAATTTGTAAATGTATCTCTGCTATTAGTTCTTTGTCTATTCTAGTATTA